TGTCCATAATTTTCAATAGTTAAATTATGCATCTATTATTGATGTGCAACAACATAAGAAGCAAAATATAGAAGTTGGAGATTAACCCAGGGTATAACGCCTTCTTTATATTTGGGGTGTTAATTTAATATTAAAGGTATCAATACAGAGATGATGATAGTTGCAATAACTTCAGATGAGGTTTATCCTGGTTATGATTAATTTCTCTGTATTTTCACCACTACAGACTGTCGTTTGATCCAACGATTTTAACATTTTTTTTAACATTGTCTTAAAGGTCTATCAGTGCTTTTTTTGTGGTGAAAAAAAAGTAAAATCACAAAAATACTGAACGCTGAGGAAAAGTCAAAAGGGAAAGTCCCTAATCAAATGGCAAAATCAAAAGATAATGAGTAAATGCATTTTTTTTTGGTTCTTCGTTAAAAAAAAAAGATGTCATTTAAATTAAAATTTCAGATTTATAATGAAAATTTTCCTAAGACATTTAAATTAAAATTTAAGATTTATAGTGAAATAATAATTTTCCTAAAATTTTTACATTTTCAAAGCATTGTAGTTGTCAGATTAAAGAATAACATAGTACTTGATATTGATTTAAACTCATAGTCTAGTGCATGCAAAGTTCAGAAGCAAAACATTCTTTATCTTCAGAGTTTTGGTGTAGACTTAATAAATATCAAATGATCATTTCAGAAATACATTATGCTTGGAGCGCTGCATGTCTTTACTAACATATAACAAAGTTGCTTATTGGTGTTTAAGTAGTAGGGTTTGTTATATCTTCTGTTTGTTTCAGTTGTTCTTTGGATGGTTCTTTGGTTTTGAGGTATTTAGGGTGTGGTGTTTACCATTCGAAGGAATCTATATATGTAATTCTGAAATGAAAAATATTTGATATTTCTAGTCATAAAAAAAATAATCAAATGTTAGAGCATAAAGCTGCTTTGAACTTTGAATCTGTACGATTTTCTTACTTTCTTTAATTTCTTATTTTCAAAATTGAAAAGTAATATCTTCAATCAAAATCAAAATCTAAATTGTATTTGACATATGATGTATTGGAAATGGAAAACTAAATAACATATTCTCGTAAATTAAGTTGAATTCAGGGGAAGTGGAAAATGATCCCAAAAGTTTTTTAGATATACATTATCTTCTTCAAAATTGTTTCTGGGTATCTACATCTTTAAAGCACTGATCGCTATTAAGATAATAAAGAAGTAAAAATACATTTTTATAACAAGTCAAGCCATAACAAAAATTCTACCATACAAAAAAGAATTTGGATGTTTAATTTACATTTATTATAGAGTTATAAACATAATCGCAAAGGTTATTAATTCTTACATGACTGAAAGTTTGTACAAGTCTTAATATTTGGTGAACAATAATAAATTTCTATGATATATATATTATTATCACTATTTTACTGAATTTTCCTTTGATCTTACTGATAATTTTCTTTCTCAGCATAGTAGAAAGATATGGAAAGTATCTCTAGAAACTAAGGCTGCACGTGCCATTTTCAATGTAAATTTCAACTTCGTCATAAGCAAAATAGCGATAAACAGATTATCATTGGTCATCTCAACTTGATTGTTTTTCTCACTTTCACAGTACCGGCTCAAGGGAGAAAATCAATCTCGTTGAGATGACCAATGAAATTTACAATGATTTCCAATACCCTAAAAACTTCATTTTGAGTTATCTGAAACTATCATCATCTCCAAGTGAAGAGTTATATAACTTATCAATCCCATATCTTACAGTAGTTATCTCCCTTTGCTTCAAGCTTCTCAACCTTGGGTTAATTTTCAACTCTCACCTTCAACACTAGGTTTTCATCCACAGATTCCAGACATTTAATGATAACTTCATTATTATGAGACCATAATTGACAACTGGTATTAATGTTTTAATTTTACTTGTTAGTCCCATTTAACAATTGCTCATCGTAATTTGTAAAATCAAATTGTCTTGAGTTTAAGCATTTCTTTGTAAAAATTTCCTGTTTAATAGAAAATTAATCCTTTTAACTTCCCAAGCCATTCTGTGATCAATATATTAAAGGATAATTTTGTCCAGCTTCTTGAAACAATTTTTCTTTTTTGCAATCAAAAGTATTGACAGTGAGCAGGATCATTTCAAGATCACAAAAAAGGAGCTGAAAACTGGTCTATTGTATTCTATCTATCAAGTGTACATGAAAAGGAGTAGATTGTACAACACAAAAATTTCCAAATTTCAAATCATAAGTTTGTTGAAATAGAGCTCATTTTATACAATTTAGATCTTTTATTGAAAAAGGTATTAGACTGATCTTAACCCTATCATACAGTTTGAATTACAACATAAATTAATTTGCTCCTTGGTATCAAACCATTCTATCTTTTTCAAATTTGGTAATTACAATATAGGTAAAGCACTTGCCATCATAAAATACTTAAAAAAAATAAAATAAGTAAAACCCAATTATCAATAACTGACTGCAGCTATTCTTCATTGGATCCTTTTTGAAACTCATGGCCAGACAAAGAGTAATCTAAGAGCTTGACTCTCTAACAGGGATCCAACTTTAGCCTCATTAGTTCAAAGGAGTTTTCCATTAGTCCATAATAATTAAGAAATAATTGTTGCAAGCTATACTTTATTGTAGTTTTAACATGGGTAGGCATTATATACGTGATTATTTTTGCCTGAGCGATAGCTTACAATCAGTTCTGTTAACCAAGCAGTTTTAGATTTATATTAGACCCTGTTTCAGACTTTGGGGATTTAATCATTAAAATAGTTAAAGATAACCAGACTATTTTAGATTTAACTGGTTATCTGTTTTCTTTTTCCGGTAGCCAAAAAGAGCTGATTCCTGTAAGTCTGTATATTGGCTGCTTCTGGTTCTTATCCATTTAAGGAACCAATGATTCCGGAGAGTGCAGTAACCTTGCCTCAGTCCATTATTGTCAAGATATCAGTGATTTTCCTTTTTTTCTGACAAAAGTCATTGGAAGTAATCTTACATAAAACAAATTTTGATATAACCAATCAAAAATGCTATCATAAATAATCTGGGAACAAAAAATTTTACTTTTTCAATTGTAAATTTTGCTACTATTTTTCTTTCAAGTATAAAACTAAAGGAAAAAGTAAAAATCTATTTTATTGAAGTATTACGTGCCATTTGAGTTTTGAAATTAATTTAAATTATAAAGTATTGAAATTAATTTTTATTATAGAATCAGTATTATATCATTTCTTTGAGTTCTTAATTTTTTCTTTCTAAATTTTTTTATTAAATCTAAAGACTTCATACTTGATACATGTAATATCATTTTGCATCATATTTTTATTTTTTCATTTCAGCTTCTTTTTCTTGTACCACTGAAACTTCACAGAATAACTGCGTACATTTTGAAGTTGTGTACCTGCTTATATGAAATTGTTTGAGGAATTTCTCCCCATTTTTCCCTTAATTCTGATCTTGATGATTGTTTTCCAAAATTTTCAAAAATGGTACTGATTTTGTGTAATCAACTCCTGCAGTTTTCAATCTCAATCTTTTTAACTTCACACAATGATAGTACAAATATTTAAGTTGTCCACTTGGTACTATGGAATTGTTTGATAATTTTTTTCCTGACTTGGGAACTAAGTAATTTTTCATCAAAGGTAAAATAAATAGTTTTTAACCCATATCTTTTGGAATTCACAGAGAGTTTGCAAATCTATAGAGGCTTTTACAAATTTTGGGACTATACATGACTACTATGTACATGAGTAGTAAACCTTGAAAATGAGATATTTTTGATTAAACTATGCTTCAAAATATTTAAAAAATGTTGATTTACATGTATTTATTATACTATTACTACACTGTACTTTTTTTCTTACATTTGGATAAGTATTTTCATATCAGATGTCTGGTAACTTATATAAAAGCTATTATCTAGAGCTCTGTAAATAAAAAAAAATGTAAACATAGTTCTAAAATATACTTTTAATGAGTGGAAGAAATTGTGGGGTAAGAATACATTTCGTAAATTATCAAAGTACAAGTTACCTGTTTAAAAGCATGTCTGGTATTTTTACAGTACTTTTTAAATGAATTTAATAAATTATTTGTATTTTAAATTGAGAATTTCTTCAGTTTCCATGATTGGAAAAATAATGTGAGATGCCTTGGAATTCGAACATTCTGGTGACTATTGTACATTTTTTAATGTACAATGGAAAGGACATTTCATTACTTAGATAAAATGGATTCAGTGGACTGATTAGCAAAAAAAACTATGATGGAAAACCTTTGAAAGCAGTCAGGATGGCAGCTCCAAGGAAGATGGTCAAATAAATCTTCAACCAAGTCTGAGGCTTTACCAAGAAATTAAGAAGGCAAGTTTATTTAAGCCAATATTTGTATACATTTTCTAGAAATATTCGACAAGAAGTGCATATTAAGACAACACGCCAGCACCCTTCTGATCTTCTGCATGCAAAACACCATTGGTGTATTAATTTTAATAAGTTTTATAATTTAAGTTACCATTTCCTTGAACAAGATTTTCGATCAAAATATTTAAAACTTCAAGGGGAGACCAGTACAATTAACAGAAGATTTGTTCATTCAATGGGTCATATAACTGTTAAATTTGCACAGCACTTTTGTGCAGTTAAATTCCAAACAAAAACCTTTGACTTGTTTTATTTTTATTATGTCAAGTTTTTGTTTAGTCAGGTTAATAGTTACTCCTTGCTATAGATCAATGACATTTTGTATTTATTTGCATTTCTAACAAATTATCGAATTAATTAGCAATGTTGCTAATCATCAGATGTTTTTCATTTTCCGCTGCTAGGCGAGACATCTCTGTCAACAGTTTATCTTACAAACTTGTGTTGATACTATTGTGTACATTTTGTAAGAAATCAGAACATTATATAGTGACTTTATATTTATAGAGAAATGGATTTGTAAAATATATAATGTGTCTTTTTTAATTCTTTTTAGGTTCTTCTGTGATATGTTTTCATGGTGTGGGAATAAGACTTGGTGGTCTAATACAGCTAATACGAAGGTATGTACCAGTATGTTAGTCCTGTTTGGAAAAAAGAAAAAGTACTATAAAATGTATTTGGAAATAGCATGTGCTCTAAGCATGAAGGTTTGTAGGAGTTTGGTAAGAAGTCTTTGCTTTCTTTAATTGCCTTTAAAGGAGTAAATTTAATTATCTGATTTGATTATGTAAAAGTTTGTTGGGATGCTGGTTTGCTGTTCTCAACTTCTATTACAAATTTATAGACTTTTATTTAATTTGCCACTGGACATTTAGCAACCAACAATCAAATGAATCAATCATTCAAAATATGGAATATACATACAGTATATCAAAAATGATCCTTATAAACAATCTTGAATGACTAATTTTATTTTTCAGGTTAGCATCACAGCTTGTCTGTAAAGATTGAAGCTGGGAGTGGGCATTGGAGCTGACTTTTATGGTAAGAACCAATACAAAAAAAAAACAATATGTAAAAAAAGAAATATGTTAGACATCTACCATTGACTTGTTTTTCATCCTTTTCTGCTAATAAAGACTGGTAGTTAAAAAAATATATCAGCAAATCACTTTTAAACAAAGAGAAAGGTTTTATGAATCATGATTATAATGACCAGTTATTTATTATTTTGCATTTGATATTGTTTCAATTTTCAGATTTTGCCAATTACGTTTAATTCAGTATATTTCTTTTTCAGATAACTGTGGCTGCATAAAAGGGCTATGTGATTTTACTGTAACAGTAAAGAATGTAATTCAGACTATTTTTGTGTATGTTTGAGAAAATGTTTATAATTTTTACAAAAAGAAAAAAAAATTATGTACAGGTTCTCCATTTTCAACAAGATTGGAAGTTGTAGGTTAATAGGTCTTTGAAATTTCAAAAATTACTTTCCATTTTCTGTTCATACTCATGTCTAGGCAAAACACTTCCAGTAGTTTAAGAATGGAGAATCTAAAAAAAAAGAGAAGAAAAAAAAAAAGAAAAAAATGTTTAATTATTGAAATGTTTTTTTATTTTTGCAAATTGTAATATATTTTTTCACCTTTGTGTCATTTTTAGCTGAGTTTATAACGAAGGGTATATTATTTTAAGAATATTTTACAAGAAGCATAGTTGAAGAATATCTTGATGAAAGTAGATTGATTGATTTTTGCTATTTAACACCACTTTCAGCATGATTTGCTATACCTTGGCTGCCAGTTTTTATTTGTGGAGACAGCCTGGTGAAAACATCCCCTTCAACAGAGAAACTGGCAACGCTAGTCAATTAAGATTGACTTTTAACACACTTACAATGTGAGGGTTCAGAGTGTTGACAGGCTAGTGATACAGTAGTTGAACTACTTTGACCATTTAGCCACCATTACTCCATCCGCACTAAATATGTTATTGAAATGTGTTGAATATTTGTAATTTGATTTTTTTTTTTTTTGAATACCGGTATACTATTTATGTTTTTTTGTTATATATAACAAAGATGTGGAGTTCTAACAGGGTGAAATTTAGGTCAAAGGGAGGTTATTGATTATACTGTGTTGAACTTCAAGTACTTGAAATTCCCTCAATGTTAGATTTTTATTTACTTGGATACTCACGTTTATGCACTTTTTTACATATCAGATGTTTTCTAGATTATAGAAATTTAGGGTGGGAAAAATTATGTGTCACTTAAAATAATTATGTGAAATTTTTCAAAAAGTTTATTAATTGAAAGTGCATCTGATATTTTTTATGTACCGTATGTTACTTTATTTTCTAAAAACAAATGGACACAACATAGATTGACAATAAGATAGTGAGAAGAACCACCTTGTCAGCCAGGATAGCAGCTCTTAGGAAGATGGTCAATTAAATCTTCAACCAAATCTGACTCTTTACCATGAAAATAGAAAAGGCAAGTTTATTTTAGCCAGATCTTTTTAGATAACAGACCCTTCTGAAATATTGCATTTAAAACACCATTGATGAATTAATTTACCAGTTTAGTATTTAAAGATACAAGATACATGAACAAGATTTTCTATTAAAATATCAATAGTAAATCCTAAAAATAGTCATTAAACTTCAAGAAAAGACCAGTACAATTTAAAACACGATTTTGCATTCAATGGGAGATAACTTTGTAAAATCTTCAGATATTTTTTGTGCAGTTAAATTTAAATCCGACGTTTTTTTACTTTTCTATCTTTTATATTGATTTTAAAAAAAAATGATTTTATACAATTGTCTACCTGCAATATGAAATCAGAACAATATTTAGTAAATTTTAGGTTATCAGGAACACATAAATTGATTTACAAAATGTATAATGTGTTGATTATAATTTCATTTCAGGTTCTTTCTGAGACATGTTTTCATGGTGTGGGAATAAGACTTGGTGGTCTTATACAGCTAATACAAAGGTATGTACTAGTATGTTAGTCCTGTTTTGGAAAACTTAAATGTATTATAAATATTTTATGGAAAAACAAGATATGAACGCTTAAAAGATTTTTTACAGGAATCTACTCTTATTATTATAGCAGTAACCAAATGAGAGTAAAGTTTAGGATCTGAATTGTTTACATAAAAATGTGTTGGCTTGTTGGATTGCTGTCTCATCCATATGTTCTTGACATATATAACACATTTTAAGACTATTTCTATTTAATGATTTGCCACTGGACCTAAGCAACCAACAACCAATCATTCAATCTATTCAATATACATACATAATGCCAACAAAGAACGTTTTAAACAGTTTTTATATGCCCGTTTACGGGACGTATTATGGTATACCGTTGTCTGTCCGTCTGTCTGTCCGTCTGTCGTCAACATGTCGGACATTAACTCAAAAACGCTTTAACCAATTTGCATAAAACTTTGGTGAATTGTTTATATCTATTGACGTGAGCTCCCTTTAGTTTTTTATAAATTTTAGATTTTACGTTTCCGAGTTACAGGGTTTTATTAATGAATTATCATTTTATATTTCAGGTTAGCATCACAGCTTGTCTGTAAGGATTGAAGCTGGGAGTGGGCATTGGAGCTGACTTTTATGGTAAGAATCAATACATAGATTTATGAACTTTTCATCCAAGAGCATTTTAAAGCCCAAGATTTTTGTTAGGCACAGATGTAAATCTTACATATTAATGTCTTCTTTACTTATAGTTGAATAAACAATTTAGAAGGAGATATAAAGATATATGAGAAGTCAAAAAGTATAATGTATAATGCGAAATCTTCGGATTTCAGTTTTTTTGTTATCTATAGTTGTCCCCATATATGAAAATATGTACGTGTGGTATGTATGCCAATGAGACAGCTATCAACCAGAGACCAAATGATGTGGATGCAACTAAATGTCACCCTATGCCTTCAACAATGAGCAAAACCTATATTGTATAGTTAGCTATAAAGGTTCAACATGACTAAATGTTAAAAAATTCAATCAAGTATGTTAATAGCCTGATATACTATATATAGCTATAAAACAATGTTAAAAAGATACTTGTAAAGACATCAGCCAATGACTTGTTTTTCATCCTTTTATTGCTAAGAAATACTGGTACTTTAAAATTTATGTCAACAAATCACTTTATAACAAAGAAAAAGAAATGTTCTATACATTATAATTGTAATGCTCAGTTAACTATAATTGTTTTGCATTAAATATTTCAATGTTCATGAGTAATGTATATTTCTTTTTCAGATAACTGTGGCTGCATAAAATGGTTGTGTGATATAACTGCAACAGTAAAGAATGTAATTCAGACTATTTTTGTGTATGCTTGAGAAAATGTTTAAAAAAAATATGTAAAGATTCTCCATTTTCAACAAGATTGGAAGTTGTAGGTTAACTTGTATTTGACATTACAAAAATTCTTTCTATTTTCCATTTATACTCATGTCAAGTCAAAACACTTCCAGCAGTTTAAGAATGGATAATCTAAAAGAAAAAGAAAGAAAAAAGAAAAAAAAAATGTTCAATTATTGAAATGTATTTTTTTTTTTTGCAAATTGTAATGTATATATTTTTGCCATCTTTTTGTTATTTAAGGATTTGAGATACTTTCAAATTTTACAAGTTACTTTATACATGTAGTTAATGCAATTAAATCTGCCGATGTGAATATTCCCACTAAATTTCTTAGCAAAAATTTTAATTATTTTTGTTTTTTTTAGCAATGTTCAAAATACCTTACCATAGCAAATGCCTCTCTAGTGTAAACTAAAAAGATGAATAATGGTCTGCAGTAAATATATCCCCTTACAACCTTTTCTTTTCATGTTAATTTTAATATCTTTAAGATATGTGACAAGGGTGCTCTAATGCAGAGGAATTTACGAAGTTAAGAAGTTAGAAATATATTTTTTGCACTTTTTTTGTCAACTTTAGCTGATTTTGGTTTGTAACCAAGGTGATATTTTTTAAAGAATAATTTTACAAAAGGCATAGTTGAAGAACATCTTGTTGAAATTGGATTGGTTGATTTTTGGTGTTAAACACCACTTTAACATGATTTACTATAATTTTGGCTGTAAATTTTTATTTGTGGAGACAGCCAGAGTGCCTGGTGAAAACATCACCTTCATCAGGGAAACGGAAAAACCCTAGTCAAATTAATAATGAAGTTACACATTTCATTTGAGGGTTCTCAGTGTTGACAGGCTAGTGATACAGTAGTTGAACTACTTATAGGACCACTCTGCCACCATAATTCGATCAATACGAAATATTTTATTGAAATGTGTTAGATTTTTGTTATCAATCTATTTTTTAATTTTAATTGTACTATTTTATTTATTTTGTTTAATATAACAAGGATGTGGAGTCCGAACAGGGTGAAATTTGGGTCAAAGGGAGGCAATTTATTATACCCCTGTTTAACTCCACATACTTGAAATTCCCTCATTGTTAGGATTTTCATCTACTTGGATATTCATGTTTGTACATTTTTTTTAATATCAGATGTATACTAGCTAATATTGACTATTATTTAGAGCTCTGTAATAAAAAAAAATAAATGTAAGCAGAGCTCTAGATAATAAGTATGCAGGGTGGGAGAAATCTTGGGTCATTAACAATTGATTTGCTGAAATTTTCAAGAAAGGGGATTTATTGGAAATGCATCTGATATATTTAATGTATAAAACTATATTTAAAAAAAAAAGATGTTAAGATGATGAGGAGAGCCACCTTGTCAGCCGGGAGAGCAGCTCTAAGGGAGATGGTCAATTTAATCTTCACCAAGTCTGAGGCTTTACCATGAGAAATATGTGGTAAGTTTATATATTCCACAAATTTTATGGTAATATATATATAGGCATTTAACATTATTTTTTAAGGGTTCTTTTCTATCAGTGTTTGGTTTCTAGTCTTACATTTGTTTTCTGTCTGGTGTCGAGTGAGCTGTGTTGGATAGAAACCAACTGTATGCAAGTTATTATCAATGAATTTGTAAACTTATTTGGGTCGAACAAATTTTTATGCAAAGTCTGTAACTGTTTGAATATTGAATTGATATAGAATCATTTTCATAGAGGATTTCTTGGCGCTCTTATGTTATCTATTGACTGGGTCAGATAAGGTGAAAGTTTGTAACGCCCACTTGTCACATTGAATGTGTTATAGACATTTAAACTGGGGTCGCCAAAGGTTCTAAATGCCTACAACAAATAGTACGAATTACTAGCAGAGGACTAAACCTTGCGTGTTGATTTAAATGGTGAATAATTATTTTCTTTTTTTCTTCTCTTGTGCCTACATGTACTTTGCTCTTTTATTAGCTCACCGGGGCCCTTCGGGTCCCATGTGAGCTTATGCCATCACTTGGCGTCCGTTGTCGTCCGTTGTCTGTCGTCGTCGTCTGTTGTCGTCTGTCATAAACTATTTAAAAAATCTTCTCTGAAACTACTGGGCCAAATACCTTTAAACTTTAACTAAATGTTCCTTAGGGTATCTAGTTTATAAATTGTATCCGAAGTTTTGATCCATCGACAAACATGGCTGCCATGACTAAAAATAGACCATAGGGGTCAAATGAAGTTTTTGGCTTATATCTCAAAAATTAAAGCTTTTAGAGCAAATCTGACACAGGGTAAAATTGTTCAATTGGTCAAGATCTATCAGCTCTGAAATTTTCAGACGAATCGAACAACCCATTGTTTGGTTGCTACCACCGAATTGGTAGTTTTAACAAAATTTTGCAGTTTTTTTTATTTTGAATATTATTATAGATATATATAAACTGTAAGCAGCAATAATGTTCAGCAAAGTAAGATCTACAAAAAAGTTAATATGACTATAATTGTCAATTGACCCCTTAAGGAGTTATTGCCCTTAAAAGACACTTTTACACAATTTGTTCATCAAGTTTGCTCACATTTAAAAATCTTCTCCTCTGAAATACAGGTGAGCGATTCAGGCTCTTGAGAGCCTCTTGTTCTATTTAAATCCCTATTGGAAGGCCTCTGACAGACTCAGTGAGCGTAAAATCACTGTTATCGATAGCCATTGGCAAACAAGTTAAAGGCACTGTAAATTCAGAAATTATTGCGTGCAATTATTAATAAATAAATTTGGTGTAATTACTGTCTTCTAATTGGTTAAACGTATTACTTTTATTTTCAATGTTGTCAATTTTTATGGCGAGACGCCCACTCTGACGTTGTATATTCATACGCCAACATCCGTGTACGTTTTTATGGTTAATATAAATAATATAAAAAGTTCTTTGAGCCTTATTTTTGTTAGAAATTTATTTATAATGAATGGCTATAATTTATTTTGAATTTATTGAACCATAAAATTAATTTTTGACTCTCCACATTTTACATAATCTGCTTCTCGGATTATTCAATGTGAAGAGTCAAAAATTAATTTTATGGTTCAATAAATTCAAAATAAATAATAACTTATGGTTCAATAAATTCAAAATAAATAATATAACCATTCATTAATTGTGATTTTTTAATTTTAGACTAAAATGCGATTTTAATTTTTGCGATATTGAGAAAAATCCTGTTTAATTCATATAAAAAATTTCAAAATGCTAGTTTAAATTATTGCCAATACAACCATGTTGCATTTTTCGCAATAATAAAAACATTGCAATAGTTTCTGAATTTACAGTAATTGAGTTAGTATTATTACCAACATAAGTATTGGGGTTGTCTACGCTGTTATGAAAATGATTTTAAGAACCATCAAAAGAGAACAAAACCATCCGATTTTGTAATTGAATATTCCAATATCATTGTCTTATACATATATGTGCACTTGCACAAGGTCAATTTCTATCTCTAGCAGTTTAAAGTTTATATAGTGAAGATGATAATGTATAACAGGTTTTAATAAATGAAGCATAGCATTATTTTGTTAGTCTTCTTAGAGACAGATTGATCTGTAAACAAGTAATAATTTTTATATTTTTTTTATTTTTAGGTTGTTATAATGATGATGTTTTCATGGTGTTGGGAGTAAGACTTGGATGTCTGATATTGTTAACATGTTGGTAGGTAATCAAGCATCTTTTTAGTAATATAATATTTGGTTATTGCGTACCAAAAAAATAATTTTACACTGATGAGATACCGGTTGAATTTTTTTGGTAAATATAAAACTTTAATTCAGAATACCAAATATTTTTTCCATAATTTTTTGTTTTCCTAGTGCAATTTTAAATTAAGTACATGTGTAATAATTTTTTTTAGGAAAGTTTAGTATAACTTGACTACTTTTATATTCCAGGTTAGCATCAGGTTTCCATTGGGTTACTTGCTGGGATAAAGCTGTTATAAGGTGAGAACTTATTCATCAACATACAACTTTAATGTGTTTATGTTATGGTGTGATGAATGTCACTGAATAGATTTCAATATATATATATATATTTTTTTAATTTACAATTAAAAAAAATCAGTATTCAATCTTTTCATTTTAAAATAATGTACCCTTTAAAGCAGATACTAGATCTGAAGAAGATATATGAAGGGGAGATAACAATAAAATCGGATATTTTTGATACTATATATTTTTGAGTAATCAATATAAGTAATAAACAAATTGTTTAACATACACTGATGTCTGTTTCTTTATTCCCGTTAGATTATTTTAAAATTAAGGATCAACAATTGAAATTTAACTTTGTTTCTTTTTCAGTCGAAAGAATTGCTGTTGCTGCCTTCCTTGTATGGTAAAACCTCAGACTACAATCCTGCAAACCATTGGATGAACTGTTGCTATCTTTTGTAAAAAAAAATAGCAGATATTTGTCTTAAAAGCAGAATGAATTATAAATGCAATTAATTTTTAACGCTTTATTATTCAAATTATAAATATTTATTTCATTATTTTTTCTTGCATTCAATAGTTGTTTTGTGATTGAAGAAATATAAAAAAAAAACTGTGAAATTATTGTTATTTGAGAGGTCCCAAAGGTATGATATATGGTTTCACAAGATACCCATAAGACTTGCTTCAGTTTACATATATTTTTTTAAGTTATGTACACTGGTTAAGAATTATAAGTCCTTTGTGAAAATGATTTTTTTCTGGTTAGAAACCTATTAAGTAGGACTTGGATGGCCAAACACTAAAAGGGAATAAAACAAATCCCCTATTAAACAATTTAAGTACTGAGTTTTTGGTGCAATATGAACTAGAAATAAAAATGTTTAGTTAGATGGTTTGTTTTGACTCTGCATTCTTTACATTCATACAAATTAATGGCTGTCAGTTTTATTTATTGGTTTTGGTTATATATTATAAATGCATTATTCAGCATCTGAGACCACTCAAGTGA